TTATTAAATTTAAAGATAACATTTTAGATTATCACAGAGGAGTAATACACAATTTTGTAATAGAGTTTACTTACCGAAAAAGAGAATATTCATCAAAATTGTTCATCCCTTTAATCATCCTATTGCTTTATAATTTGTTAGATTAAAGACGTCTGGAGTACCTAGGACAAACTCCAAAATAGTTTGACCTACAGTCCAAGAGTCATATCTATTTAAAGAAGGAAAAATACATCATTAGTTAATGTAAGCAATACTAATGATTAAAAACAATAAAAATCAAAGGAGTAAACTTACTTTGTGGAGAGTTGATATCTAACCCAACGTCTATCCACAATTGCCTCAGGGGACATTGAAAATCGATATTGCTCAACATTTAAGAGATAAAAAATAAAAGTTATTTGTCAATATATTTATACTCACACAACTTCACTCATTTTAATTTATTTTAACTTATAAATACTTTGTGAGTCCACATTTTTCATACATGAACCTTTAGCATATTTATCAATAGCATTACGAAAGTCAATCAACCTCCTGTAAATAAGAAGATAAGTAACATGTAGTTTTCTCGAAGACGACCACTAAAATTTGTAGGTTAAGATCAAATTTTAATAATAGGCTTTAAACTTTTTACTACAATATATATATATATATTCACAACATACATTAAATAGTGATATTATTATTTATATTGGAAAGGTTTAATGTAAGTTAATGAGATGTTATCCATTTGTTTACAATACGTTACTTTAGATCTTGTTATAATTTTTTTTTATTAACGTGAAAAAGATTTGAATAATTTAACTCAAACTTCTAAAATAATTTTACTATTAAAAAACAAACAACAGAAATACAACTTATTTTCACAAACTATAACTTATTTTCACATTTTTCACCTTTAGTATTGCTTAGCAAATAAAAATATAAGATTCTCGTTACTATCTAAATTAAAATTGCTTTAGAACCACAATATTCTTATGCTTTTTACAGTACCTCTCGAGAGCCTTTAGACGTCAACAGGTCAGAGGGGTTGCTCTAATGGTAAGCAACCTCCACTTTCAACCAAGAGGTTGTGAGTTCGAGTCACCCCAAGAGCAAGGTGGGGAGTTCTTGGAGGGAAGGATGCCGGAGGTCTATTGGAAACAGCCTCTCTACCTCATGGTAGGGGTAAGGTCTGCGTACACACTACCCTCCCCATACCCCCACTAGTGGGATTATACTGGGTTGTTTGTTATTGTTGTTGTTATTGTTGATTCAACATTCAATAGCCTAAAGTATTCACATTTCATAGCAGTATGTTTAAAAAATATTCCTAGTATATTTCTTGCTTAATGCCTTGGACATAGTTGCTTTATTAATATCACAGTGCAAGAGAACAGTTAACATCGCTTGTGACCATAATTTATATCTAGCAATATTTTTATTTATTTTTTTGTCATTCTGTCTTTTCACCTACAACTATTAGATCAATAGCCTCACATTGCCACTGTGGAATGAGCAATATACATCTATCTTTAGAATCCTCTAAAAGCTCATTCACCTAGGTGAAAATCTAGCAAGATGTTGGCTTGCGAATTGTTATCATTTCTGCTAGTTATCTAACATCCATCACAATATCTTTCCAACACTGAAGAAAATCTTTTATAAAATAACAAAAAAATTGTCTTTATTAAGGTAACCAAGAATTCTTACGACATTTTTCAATAACAATTACTCAATTATGAGTATGTATTTATAATTTAAAATTGCATTGGCAACTCTACTTTAGTACGGTTCACCACATACATTAAAGTTTCATCTGTAATGACATATTTAATTGAGTTTATTACTCAAATGGTTAATTAACTATTCGTAATTACCAACTAAAGTCATTTTTCTTTCGTTTGCAATAGCAAAGTCACTTAACTATGTCTATAGCATTCAGAAGGTCAGATTTTACAAATTTTTGATTGCCAAATACCTATTTTACCCTCTAAATGATTAACTTTTGTCTTCTTTTCATTTTTTTTATCTTTTTAATATTACATTTTTTCTCTTTTTAATTTATTATGGACTTATTATAGAACAAATAAATTTTATTTATAAATAAATAATAAAAATAGTATTTAAGCGTATATAATATTGAAATAATAAAATATTGAGCATAGTAAAAAAAAATTAATTAGAATAATTTGTTCGGAATAATAATTTTGATATTAACAACAAAAACTCAAAACTTTATTTACACAATTGAGAATAAAAGTTTTAAAATATATTCTAGCACGTACTATAAAAATTAATTATTTAAAATAAACGTATTTTTATAATATGCATTATATATTCTTGAAAATTATACTCAATTATATTATTGTTTCGATATTATATATGCTATAAAACTAAATTTTTATTTTTATTTTATAAGTAAAATTTATTTGTTCTATAGATAAGTCCATAATGTTGATTAAAAAGAGAAATAATAATAATATTATTAAAAAAGAAGAAGATAAAAGTTGATAATTTAGAGGGTAAAATATGTATTTGACAATCAAAAGTTTGAGAAATCTGGTTGAGTGATTTTGGCGTTATAGACATAGATAAATGAGTTTTCTGTTACAAATAAAAAAAGATGACTTTAATAGATAATTTCAATGACCATTTAAGTAATAGGCTCTTCTAATTTGGATAACTGAATATATCCATTTGTATGTTGGAGTTTTAAAGGTAAATACCACATAATTTAGTGACGTTAAAGATATAAATTAATAAAAAATATAGTATAGAATTAAATTGAACAATCAATATAAATATATAAAGCTGGACATAGTAGAGGTGATGTGGCACCTCTCTATAACCAGCATTCCTATTTTTCTTTTATCTCCCTTTTTTGATATTTTTCGTCTCATCTGGTCCAAAATTCTCTTTTTGTTATCGATAGACTTTACATATTCCCACTACTTTCAGCAATTGATATGGTCTTTATTTGTCTTAATAATCAGTTGAAGCATCTATTAATTAGAATGTCATTCCCACTACGTTTCAGCAATTGAGAGGCATTTATTTGCCTTAAAGTTTAATAACAGTGCTGGATTTATAAGTTATATATATCGAAACATTATTTAGAATGTCAAAAATATAAAGTGATAATCTCATTATAATTTCATAGACGGTCAAGCTTTTGTTCAATATTCTTTGTTTTCATTCCTTTTATTTTTTAAACTGCTTTTTATTCCTCCTTTCACTCCCCTTTTGAATTTCACACACCGTTAAACATGACAAGATCAAGTTCTCCACTTATCCCCCTTCTCTCTTTTTTAATATAATATATTCTATCTTTAATTTAATATTTTTCCTTTGAATTCTATATCGAATCATGATTCATGTTGGGGATATTTAGTTAGTTAAAATGTTTATTATCATTATTATGGATGTCTTTTATTTTTGATGATTTCCTTGAGCTTTTAATGATAGTGGTACTGTGTAGAATCATAAGAGTCATTTGCAGGCATTAATATGGTGGGCAAACAAATATGAATGGCAAGAAATTTATAGGTAGAGGTTTCTAAGTATTTTTTTTTGAGTTCTTTCTTTCATGTGATGTATAACTAGGGGTAGAAGTATCTCGAGTTAAGAATTTCAATATATTAATGTGCAATGAGTTTATGTTAAACTTGAGTAAAATATTCAATGTGTTTGTAGGAATATCATTTGGGTTGCATACAAATGGATTGTATTTGCAAGAATGAGAGGGAAGTGTTACGTGAAGAGAGATTCTTCGGAATCAAAATATGATGTTTTATGATAAAGAACAAAAATATAACAAAAGCTAAAAAAACTACTTATATATAAATACTCATAATAACCCTAGAACTTCTTTGATAATAGTCAGAAACAAGTGCATATAGATTTTATGTCTATTCTAAAATCGCAAGCTCTTTAATTTAATCGAGGGAGAGATACGGGCTTTTCTTGTTGTGCATTTTAAGTATTCCTTTCTAAAGTTTCCAATTTTTATTATTAGGAGTTTGCATGTTCCTTTTGTAGATTATCTTTTTGAAAAAAAAAAATACCAAAAAATTATTCTTCTCTTTATTTTACTGATGGTATTAGTTTATTTGGTTTATTTTACTGAAAATATTTATTTTATTATAATTTACTATAATGTTAGAAGTTTTTCTTTTCAATTGAGCATTATTGTTTGATAATACTTTCAAAATTATATTATGTTGCTTATGCATCATACATAGAAACTTGTATTTGTTAATTATGGTTAGGATTATTGTGTTTATTGTCTTTTAAATTTATTTTAAAGGTATTTCGGGTATTTTTCTTGCTTCCATATTATAAATAGAAACTTATATAGTTATACTCCTATTTATTCATCATGATTGGGATTATTCTTTCCATAATCTACAATGAAGAATGTTATATTTGAGAGTTGGGATATTGAGTGCATTTAATTTTTTTTGAGTCCTTTAGCTTTCGTGAGCTTTTCAAAGTTGTTTTGTTTACGGGTCAAAATCATGAGAAACTTTTAAAATGATTGTCTATATGTAATTACCAGAGGTATTTACTTTGGAATTCTTTGTAAAACCTCCTAATCACTATAATCATATGTAATTTTTACAATTTCTTATGCATCTAGTGGTTTCTTTTGCTTTTTTTTGATCCCCAATATGAGCTAAATAATGTTGATAGGCTTAATGTATTAAATTTGCGAAAAATAGAATATGATTTTAATTTTGAGTTAGCACATCATTACAGATGAGTGATTGTGATAATTAAATTTTACAAGATATAAAATTCTATCATTGTAGGAAAAAAAGAATAGGATGATTAGGTTACGCATGATTTTTATAGATAAGAAGGAAACACAAGTATTTTCATATTTGGTCTTTGTTTACGTCTATAAATTTATAATACCATTTAACAAATTTATAGATATTTTTTAATCCCGCAGACAAATTTACTTATATAGCACGGGGTAAATTTGAACATGCATTCAAGTTTCATGGACTGTTCAAACCCCGAAAATGTCATCCTATCCATTCTTTCCAAATGGCAATTCGGTCATTCAATAATCAAATGAAAACGAAAACCAGCATGATTTTGAGAGAGAGAGAGGTGAGTGAAGAGAGAAAATAAAGATCTGCTAGTGAGAGACAGAAAGAAACCGTTAATTTCAGTTAGGGAGAAACAGTGACAGTTAGCAACTGAGGAAATAATACTACTCATGAGCGAGAGAGGGACAACAATGGCGGTTTCCGATGAGGACATAGCTCGAGCATTGGAGTCTCTCTTCTGTGAACCAAACCCTAACCCTAACCCAACATTCACCGGCATTCTTCAGCAGCTTCAGTCCAAGCTTGGCGGATATGACCTCTCTCACAAGGTTGATTTCATTCGTGCTCACATCCAAGACCTCTTCAACCGCCACCACGCTCAGCCTCAGCCTCAGCCTCAGCCTCAGCCTCCTCTCCTCCGTCAAAATCACCACTTTGCCCTCCATACCCACCGCCCCAATATCCAACCCTACCCTCCTGATTCTGGTGGGTCCCATCATCCCTACGGTTACTCCTTCAGTCCACCTCCACCTCCACCCCATCACCACCTGCCACAATCGGTTTCCAAGCCTGAGCCTTTTCCCACCACACATGCCGCGGCGGCTCCTGCAGTGTCAGCTGCTTCTGAACCTCCAAAAGAGAGGTTAGTGGGTACTCTTTCTTTTTAAAATAATAAAGTAAATTCTAGTACTCCGGCAGTCCTAAATTTCTGTGACTGTGATGGTGTTTGATTGGATATGGAATTTAATGAAGGAAAGAAATACTTTTGGAACTTGGTTTTAAATATATTATAACATTTGTGAGTCTCGTCGGAGGTAAAATGAGAATTTTAAAGTTGAATTATTTTTAAATGAATAAATGTGTCATTTTTTTTGGATATTGACTAAAAGGGAAAGAGTGCTACATAAATTGGAAAGCTTCTTAGTTTGGTGAGAAAGTGGAACTTCTTTTTCCTGTTAGACAAAGTTCCCCTCATCTTCTCGCCAACTAAATTTCAGCTTTAGTTGATTTCTATGTCTCTTCTAAAGAACCACGTTAGATTGAAGCCTTGGTTGAATTATGTTGGGCATTAACTGCTTGCATTTAAGAGGATTACTTTACTATTTTATGATATTTTTACCCGTTTGAGATTGTAAGGTAGAACTTAGGAAAAGCTCAATTTTTTTCCAGTCAATGCAATTTAAGAATGTAATGGCCCTTACTGTACCCAATGCATGGAAGGTAATATAGGAACAAAGTTTGTGGGGATTTTGTTGGTTTGGAGTTGAGTGTATGCATCAGTTTAGGCCATCTTGAATGGGTGCTAACTTAAATATCGGCCGTGTTATTGATGATTTTAATAGCTTTAATATATTACTTCAGTGAAAAATCTGACAACACTTGTAACATATGAAAGAAGTTTCTTATAGTGAGTAAATTTATTGTCCACGGTATCTCACGTCACACAAAATATGGCATCTTAAATGAACTGATTTTTTTTATCGGTAAAGGATAAGTTTATTGATTACCAACATCAAGTGAGTAAACAACAACGACCCAGTAGAATCCCACAAGTGGGGTTTGGGGAGAGTAGAGTGTACGCAGACCTTACCACTACCCCAGAGGGATAGAGAGCATGTTTCCGAAAGACCCTCGGCTCAAGAAGAAGAAAATAAACAATAGACAACAGATCAGTGACAGCAACAGAAGCCAGAAAAATAGTATCAACATCGTAAGAAACAGAAAAATAGATGTAAAAGCAATAACAGTAACCAGCAATAACGCCATATAAAATAGTGTGGAAACTACATAAACCACTAACAACCCACATCAAAGCATTATCAGCCCAGCCCTGCCCCCGGAACAACATAGAAAAACGCTCGACTCCCTCCTAAACCTACCACCCTAATGCTCGACCTCCACACCTTCCTATCAAGAGCCATGTCCTCGGAGATTTAAAGTAAATGAACTGAAATTCAATGCTACTATACTGTAAATGAACTGAAATTTCAATGCTACTATACTGTAAAATTTCATTTGGCCGACTTAAACAGATATATTTTTTTGGTAGGTCAGTTAAACAGATAGATTTGATGAAAGCATGAGTTTTGACTTTTGTTTTTCCTTAAGCTGCTATAACACGTAGGTAGTCTATCTGCTGACAAAATACAGAGGCCCTATCTTACCGGCGGTGTCAATATTGGGAAGACCAAACTAATTTAAAGTATTTTTTTCTTTTGCAGTCAGCTAAAATTCTTTTTGTTTGTAATTCTTTACTCGTGATCTTTGAGTTGAATAAGTTATTATCAATAATCACGGATAAAATACTGAAAAGGGCTTGTTTCCAAAAGATTTATTCTCCATGTTTTCTTTTTCTCCCTTTTCTTTTCTTTTTCTTTTTCTGCCGTTGGCGTGGGGTGGGGGAGTGGTGGTGGAGATATAGGCCGTTACCAGTAAGATAGTAAGGTTCTAATAATTGAAGTCTTGATGAATAAATGAAGAAAACTGGTGATGTGAAACAGTATCATTATCTTGTGGTATGCATACCACTTTCATGGAAAATGCTTATAATGGAAGCTTCTTTTTGCACCCTCCTGACCTTATAGCTTGTAACAAAAAATTCTGGTGCAACTTCACTGTGTAGCATTTGTCTGCTGCTGCATTATGTGGGAATAATTAATATTTTATTCTGAGAGTTTACTGCTGATAGGTTTAATGAGGGATTTTGTCTTGTACTTTAGTGGTCAAAGTGGAAAGAAAAGAAGAGGTGGCCCTGGTGGATTAAACAAACTCTGTGGTGTCTCTCCTGAACTGCAAACCATTGTTGGCCAGGCAACCTTGCCAGGAACTGAGGTTTCGATGTTTAGATTGAAACCTTTCCTTTCTTCTTGTTGATTCTTTTTTTGTTAAAGATGGTTTCTAATTTTTCTGCTTAAACTTTTCCTTTCCAACTCAGATAGTCAAGCAGCTGTGGGCATACATAAGGAAACATAATCTTCAAGATCCAAATAACAAAAGGAAGATTATCTGCAACGATGAGCTGCGTTTGGTATTTGAGACAGATTGTACCGATATGTTCAAGATGAATAGACTGCTAGCTAAACATATAGTCACTCTCGAACCTTCAAGTATGATTCCACCAGCAATTGTTTTCTCTCTGTTTTTTGTCCGGGCGATTCTGACTCTTAAATAGAACTGTCAATTGGTTATGACATGTACAGAGCAGACTGCTCAGAACCCTAAAAGAGCAAAAACTGATGAGGAATCTGGTAGTAAATGCGAGGAAGCTGTTCCAGTTGTGATAATATCAGAAGCACTTGCAAACTTTTTGGGTATTTCAGAAAGGGAGATGTCACAAGCAGAGGTTCTGAGGCAGGTCTGGGAGTATATAAAGGTGAACCAGCTTGAGGTGGGTGGCCAAGTGAGCATTTCCGGTCGATATTAGTTTGTCCAATAGTCTGCCTTTTTACAGCAATTTCATGATTAGTTTCAGTTTACATGTATTATGAGAACTCAGCTAACTTTAAGAAGAGTAGTTCCCTATTTACGTTTTAACTCACATTGCTCTCAGCAAAACTAGCCAAGTAAACATTTCATGATTAGTTTCAGTTTACACATATTATGAGAACTCAGCTAAATTTAAGAAAGTATTGCCCTCAAGTATGTCCCTGCTGTCTTACTTCATCTGCACATGTAATTCGTCAGACAAGCATTTATGATTACAGACATTCATAATCTGCATTAAGAGAGTAGGTTCAATGTTAATCATTAGGAAGTGCCCTAATAAAAATTTGGGCAAAAGCTAAGCGTATACTGTTTCCCCTGCATATGTCAACTGTAGATATTTTTGAATTTGTGGTTGTGTTTATCTGGTGAAATATATGCCTCCATGTTAATAATTGCAGGTCTATAGCATGTGATGAATGATTTCCATGCGTTATTTTCATCTTTTCATCAATATATGCACCAATACTTCTATTGCAAATGTTACTTGGCATGAAAAGCTATGTGACTATATTGAATTACCCAATTGTATGTTGGAAATATTCAACTATTGGTGTTGGATTCCCATTGTATCATGTTAATTCTCTTTGAGTTGTAAGATCAAATGATAGATCAATTGTCCACGCACAACTACTACTTTCTTGAGCAGATCATTAGTTGTCAATCTATTGTTCTTGTTTTTTTCCTTTTGTGTAATTCATGAGATTATTTTGCGACCTGCTTCTTGCTTCTTCAACTTCCTTTACAGTATATGTTTGAGAATTTCATTATTGTAATCTATTTTCCAAACTTCCAGGACCCTTTGAATTCGATGGTCATACGGTGTGACGCAAAATTGCAAGAGCTTCTAGGATGTGAAAGTATTTCTGTACTTGGTATACCGGAGATGTTGGCAAGACATCACCTTTTTAAGATATCTTGACCACTGATCTGACTGGTTAACACGGCGTATGTAGTTTTAGTTCATGATCCTTTTTATTACTCGATATTGAGCAATTTGTTTTTAAAGTGGTTCCATTTTCTTTAAAGATTTTGTGATTATATATCAAACTACTAATAATTGAAGCAAGTTTTACGTAGTGTCGTGAGGCTTTTTTTGTTAAGCGCAGTCTCACTATGTATTCCAAACCTTTCAAGGTGACAAAAAGAATAAGCTGAATCAGATAAAGATCGATGGAAATTTTATTTTAAAAAAAGGCAATGGAGTTGATACAAGGTCTACAAAAGACAATTAAAGAGTACTATTTCAAATTTACAATACAAAAGGTCGTACGTGTCTATCACAATGGCTTACAGAATCATAATCTGAAAAACCAAAAAAAAAAAAAAATGTATTCTGAAATTCATCTTGTGAATATTGCACCACTTTTGGGGTATCATGTTTGTAGTGTATAAAGACTGTAAAGAACTTCAACACCTGTAGCTGCAAAAATGCGTATCTTGAATATGTAAATTTTTGAGCTTCCTTGTATTATGTCTTATTGTATCTTCTTTCTCTATGCATATCTCTTTTGTCACTTCTATATTAGCAAATTCTTTTTATTGATCACCTACAATCTTTCAAGATCATGATACGATTAGAAATTTCCTCATAATTAATGCCTAATTGGTTGAGCGCATAATGACATAATGGGCAGAGTGAGCAACTGTAATTTGACAATGTAAAGGCTATATCCAGGAAAGTTGGGTTTAGGTTCTTCTCATGCTCGCCTTTTGTTTTTTATTATTCGATTTCATATTGTTCTGTTTAGCTGAACTTGATGCTGTTAGTTTTTAAAATTATTGGGCTTGTCATATGTAGTTTATATTTCATAATAGTGTTCATTTTTCTCGGCTATAATTATGTTATCCAGTACTATCAATTTTTCTTTTGTTATTTGTGGTTGCTCTCATGTGATTTGTGATGTAAACTTGTAGATCCACTTGCATGAGATTATCTACGGCAGAGTATTAAGAAACCATTTCTATTTGCAGGTAAAGGTGCTGATGCTAACTTGTTTTGTCTTAACATGATTTAGCCCAATTCCTGGAGGAAAGTTCAGCTGCGTTCTGCTTCACTTGTTTTCGTCTTGGAAGCTTTGCTCAAGAAGGTAAGTTATTGGTAGAATTTGTTCTATGGGTTGTTTGCAAAGTTCTAATTTGTAGCTTAATATGCCTTTTGAGATAGGGTTGGTGTTCATAGGCAGTACTAACTCAAGTAAAGAAGCAGACCATAGAATGAATGAGAAATGTAAATATGATTATCAACCTGCCATACTATGTTTTGTTGGGTTGTATTATGTTCTATATATATAAAAGCCTCAGGTTATGCTTGCATATGATGTATCTTAAGATTTGAGTTCATCAAACGAGGTGAAGCTCATGAAGCTTGTTAGTGTTGCCCATTTATGGTTTTTGTGTATGCTTCCAAAACCTTTCTGTGGTAGAAAGTACCCTAGTGGTTTTAAAAGACTAAATAGTATTTTGGTATCTCGTTTATGGGCTAGTCGATTTTTATCCAACATTTTTGAAATAGGTTACTTATTATTATCTTTTGTAAAAGGTGGCGAAATAACCTTATTTTAACATTGTTAGTTTTCAAATGAAGAAAAGTCATATATCTTGTAGAGCCATTTCTTAATCTTTCTGAGGATTGAAACCTGTTTTCAGTTATAAATCATTATTAAGCAGGGTAAACCTATCAATTGCCTCTGAAATTTAACTATAAACTCTAGTAGATACTCAAATTTAGACGGTCTTAATCCTATAATAATAAATGATTGTCCTTTAACTTGACAATATTCACTACAGTACTCTTAATATTAGTGACAGATAGCTCCCAGCACCATTTATACCTACTATCTTCTTTTTTTTCTTCCTTCTGTATGAGGTTTAAGAGGAGGTTTTCACTGAAAATGATCCACTCTTCCTCCTAATCACTGTTAGAGGTGGATCTAGGATTTTTATAACATGGGTGCACCACTAAAGAAAGTATTAAGTGGGAATTGATCTCTGCTCTTCTAGGTAAAAAACTGAGCACTCAACCAAGTGCACCATTTAGCTTCTTTAGAGCATGAGTGCCAACAGATAATATTAGATCAATTCTAGCAAATATATACATAAAATATCTAGTTTGGTGAAGAGACCATGGGTTCGTGTGCCCCATAAGATAGGTTATAAACCCACCCCTGATCACTGTCCATATATTTTTCCAGAGTGGTATGCACATGGATCAATGTCAAAATTATTCTCAAAGTTTGATGAAAACACTGACATTGGTTTATTAAATTGTCAATGTTCTGTTTTCTGTGGAAAAGGTCCAAGGTCCGTGACCCTGAAATCACATGCTGGATTCACATGACATACAGTCACCGAAAGTAAGAATAAACAGCCACAGATCTTGTCACATTCCAATCCTTTGTTACTTGTATAAAAACCATTGCCTAATAACAAGCCTAGCAAACTGCACTTAGCAAAAATGGCCAAAGCTTGGTGCGTGACCTTGTTGCTTTTTGCACTGATGACAGTGTACATTGAAATGGCGAATGCTGGAACGCCAAAAACTATTTGCAGGGTCACAATTAATGAGCTTGCGGAATGTCTACCGGCAGTCATGGGCCAGAAACCTCCGCCACCAACAGCGGATTGTTGTGCAGCTCTGCGCAAGGCCGATTTGCGTTGTATGTGCAACAAGAAATCTGAACTCGGCCAACTTGGGATCAATCCTGCAGCTGCTATGAAACTGCCAAAGCAATGTAAAATTAATGTTCCTCATGGATGTTAAAGGCTCAAGTCTTGAAATTAATTAAAAGACATGTATTTTAGCATGACTTGTTTCTCTTCCTTGTGAAGTTGACATACTCCATGGTTGTTTGCATTTCTATTCCGTCAGAATTTGAATAAACTTTCTTTCCAGTTATTGTTCTACATTTCAGAATTGACCAATATTTAGCTTCATCTAACCTCCCCCCTCTCAAACCCCATGCCCACCAGCTACAATAACTATGCCTCAATCCTAACAGGGGCGGCTCAAGTCTAAAGCCAAATTTAATATGATGCCTAAATTTTTAAAAGAAAGTTATACGATATATTTTTATTTAAAGTCTATTTTTAGCTTTTTGAGATACAAAGTTGTTAATAATCCTTTTTATAATCGATTTTCCTTAATAATTTATTTTCAATTGATAATATAGCCAACTTATTTAATTTTTCTTGCGATATTGTTAATTTTAGACAATATTTTATATAACAATAGAAGTATAGAACTATTGGAAGCTTAAATTTCTTGGAGAAAAAAAGTGAGTAAGAATATTAAAGAGAAAGACAGAAAATATGTAGGGTTTTCTTAAATATGAAGAGATCGGGAAAATAAAGATTGACTTGGACAAATTAAGAAAGAGAGAGTAAATTTTTTACACGTTGTCTAATGAAAGAGTAAGAAGTGAAAAATTGAAACGTTGGTAAAACTATTCATCTACTCATATTTAAGTAAGTCAAATTATTACTTTATCTATGTATCTAAAGAGCTTTCTTTCCTTTTATATTAAAAATACTACGTTTGTATTAAAAGTACTAAATATTACTATTTTTTAAATACCTATAAACCTATTATTTTTAAAAAATGGGCCCCCAAAATTTGGAGGCCTAAGGCACAAGTCTTAAATCCTAAGCAAGTTGGAATCGAATGTATGAATTCTCAAATATCTATTTCGCTTATGTTATAAAACAATAATAGAAAAGGAAGAGTATTGAAGAAAAAAGTAGAAAGAGAGAATTCTTATTGATTTGGGATGAATTACAATGGAATAGAACCCCTCTATTTATAGGGGAAGAGTGACTTAACTACAAAGTAACAAATCCTAAAATCTCTCTAAACTATAGACATTTACCTTAAATACAATTCTATTTGTAAGACTCCCCCTTGAATGTCTATTCAACATATAATGTATCTCGTTAAAACCTTGACTAAAATAAAACCCAGTAGAAAAAATATACCTTTTGGTTGTCTCGTTAAAAACCTTGTAAGAAAACCCAGTGGGACAAAACCTTGTAAAGAAAAAAGAGTACAACGTGTATTAACTCACCCTGATGAGACAATCAATTCACATATTTGACCTTCACATTCCAATCTTGTGCACAATCTTCAAAAGATGGTTGGTAGAGATTTGATAATCAAATCAGCCATATTAACTTGAATGAATATATTTCACCTTGAAATCATCATTCTTGATAGATATGTAATGTCTTTATAAAATGTCGTGGAATGACTTTTTCAATATCTCCGTTGAGGTAAAAATTTCTGCTATCACATGATCATACTTATAGTTATAACAAAGTACATCTGTGCACAAATTACACTTAGGATGTGGTACTTCAGGACCAAGAATTGTATATGATTTAAGCGATTTAAATCCTTCAGTGATTATCATATAAGTTAAGTCATATAAGTCATATAAATAGACTTTAGATGCATATCAAGTTTTTCATGTCATGCTAGACATATAAGATAGATAAAAGTGATTGCGCACACCATTGATTTTATACTTTTAGGTGTTTGATCTGCATGGCAAAAACTACATGTCTTTCATATGAAACCAATTCTACTTAAATTGTTTCTCCAGACTTAAGATCCTCTCATATATTCAGCGTTATCATAAATGTAGTCGACGAACATTTTATATCGATTCCATCCTCATTTTTTCATAAAGATATAATATAGAAATCTCTTAATTCATATTTTCAGGTACCTTAACCTCTCCTAAGATTTTATGAAGTATTATGTCATGTGATCTTCTAGATCATTTGCCTATTTATTATGATCATTCGATCATTTGCTCATCTTCTTTATCAAGAATTTTATTTGAAACCCGTTTGTCTATACGCTTTAAGCGTACCATAGATTTTGTCCTTCTAGGACTTATTCTAATATGAGCATTTGTAGTGAGAATATAATTACTTTCTTTGGGTCCGCAAATGCGTCTGGCATGCTTTGCAATATATTGCTGATGAATTATCTTTTATGATTTTCAAGTTCATATGATCTTATTCGAGGATCTAGATGTAGAAATGATAATTCATTCCACATAACTTTTTCTCAACTGTTTATCTTGTCTCCCCCTCATGTTAGAAAAACTAACTTGCTTCCACAACTTTGAAAATCCACCTTTGTGCGTTATGGTGTTAATCAAAATATACACCGCACATCAATAATAATAAAATTATTTGGTTCCTGACCGTGAACCACTTGTGAGGGGAGAATGTAATATACTTTTGTGTATAACGTATATCAAACTGATACAGACAACTTCTTTTTTTCTCATAAGCAATAGTTTAGCTATTAAGGGGAGGCACTCAATAAATTATTTTTCTAAATCAATTGTGTTATAAACCAACTTATCAAGATAAACTGTCTTGAATAGAAAATGTGGAGATTATGCTTGAAATTAAATTATTGAGCAAGTTATCTCGCAAACAACAGGTTGCGGATTAATAATAATCGCACATGTAACCATCTCATAGATACACCTTATGTGGTATACATGGTAGGTGAATGAGACCATATTCACCTTTTATATTTCCAATGTTCATGGGATTCGATCACAATTGTAGTTGGTCTATTATTTAATGAGAACAAATAACATAAGAGAATTCGTACAGAACTTTCTAGTTCTTTAATATTTACCCTTGTGAATTCTCTTTTATTTTTTTTGCACATCATACTTAAATTAACATGGCTAAACCAATTATGCCAACTGAATAAATTATCAATATTGATAAACTTTAGGTTTACACCATGACGTGTGCAATTATCAATAAACTCCAAGTTTATTATGATATGAGTTTTTATATCAATAAACATCTACTTTATTGTGGTATTCTTTTATTTGTGTTGTACAAACTGGAGAATAAAGTGGGTAACTTTTCACATAAATATTATCCCGCTACAAGTTATAGTAATAGAAGATATTAAATTTTTTCTTTATTTGTAGTGTCAATATAACCAACCGCTTTCACGAATACTTTAGAAACTCAATAAGTTTCTTTGAGACTTACTGCGACACAATACCTTATTGATAATCAATTTTATTTCTCCAAAATAGTATAATTGGCTCTTCCAAAGCTTCCAATTAATTTTGTACTATCACATATTCATCAACATCCATGTGGTGAATATCTCTTTAAGGAGAAAGTTATAGCATTATAATCATGGTCAAAATCATTATAGGCAAGATATGTTGCTTCTATTACTTTTGCCCTGTAATAATCACATTACCATAATATTTTGGCATACAATAGGTACGTGACCAATGATCATTCATGCCATAATAATGACATTATTTTCTTATTTCCTCTCAAAGCTCCTTCTCGAGGTGAGTGTGATATATTCACTACCACTAACACATTTATAATCTTTCAAGAATGAATATATATTCATAATGATTATCACATTGTCTCCACATTCACTTCACGAATGAAACATAATAATCTATACGTGCTTTATAAAATCTCATGTTAAATCAATGGCAAATATTACTTTCACGGAGTGAAGGATTATTTTGAAAATCCTTATTATTCTCATTACCACAATGATGACAATTATAATTTCGTCTATTGCCACGGTCAGATCCATTTATACATTTACGGTAATAATTTTGTCTTCTTTCAGACGTATTACATATTGCTATCACATTCTCTTAAGGGAATGAGAATGAAGCAAAGTCAATGGGACGAGTTTCCACTTATTGTGCTCACAATCATACATAAATTTGATCATGGCATTATAATTTCTTACAAACTCTATTAGAGTTATAATCAAAATTTATTGTCTTTGCTTGTATTTAAATTAAATTATAGAATTTCAAGAATTTAAAAAGGAAAAATAAGATAAAATACTTACCGTAAATCCAAAATTTATTCTTGTAGGAAGTTAATGTAACAATTGGCAATCACTATGCTCAATATTATGTACAAGTTGAGCATCATGCATGTATCCCAAAGCCTCTACTCAATTGGTTGGAGTCTCGTGCTGATAACGTGTTATAAAACAATAATAGAAGAAGAGTATTGCAGAGAAAAGTAGAGAGAAAATTCTTATTGGTTTGGAATGAATTACAATGGAATATAACTCCTCTATTTATATGGGAAAAGTGACTTAACCACAAAGTAATTAACAAACCCTAAAATCTCTCTAAAATATTCATCTTAAATACAATTCTATATATAACAGCTTCATTTAATCTCGTTTTGATTCCAATATTACAATGTTTTCTGTATAGTGAGGATTCATTGTAAATTAACTAATTTTATGCCGGTTGTCAAATTATCTCAAATATCCTCCTTTAGCCGGGATTAAGACTGATAATATGAACAAATTCACATGAGTGGAGTTCGCACCTACCACTTCTGGGTTAAAAAAAAAAACTGAACAAAGTTAGTGACAACTTTCTAATTAGAGTTTCTTTTGATTTATATTGGAATACATAGCATAATCTTTAGCTAGAGGCAACTCGGCGGAATGTAGAGGCTGGCGAATCATATGAGACAATGCTAGAGTCAGCTCGGCCAAACTAGCACACAAAAGGATGACTTAAAGATTACTTTTAGCCCGTGATCGAAATTATTTATATTCAGTAGTGTTTTAAATAGCGTTTTCGGGGCGAGCCCTAGGGCGAGACACACCAAAAACGACTTGAGGCGATGATGTGGGGTGAAAGCCTCAAGAGGCGTACGCTCGGGTGTTTGAGGCGCATTTTTTTAGTAAGATGTAAACTTCAGATACTTTTTTCAAATTAAAACAAAATTTGTTGAATAAGTCCTTTATATAATACCCAAATTCTCAAAAGTCAGCTGGGTAATTACTCAAGTTTTAAAAAGGAACTGAAATGTATTCAATTTAAAATTCAAGACTTTTTTTATTGATTGAATCC